AAAAGAACAAGATTGAAGAAAAATCAAATAAAACGATGCTTTTGTTGGGATTTTGTCTTTCTTTTGGTGAATCCATTTCATAGCATTTTTGGGATGAATTTAAAGTTTTTGTTAATTATTTTAAATTTCTGGCATGACATTTCTTGACATTTTGCTCAATTATGTTTTTAATTTGGTTGAATATTATTGCATCATATTCTTTGGCAAAAATCCTTTGGTAGGCGTTTCCCTATATATGTTTGAGCTTCAGATTTTTTGTAATTTGGGTTTTAGATTGAGCTTGATTTCATTACATATTATGATCAGAAGGTGGCTTCAAAAGGGTGAATGGAGCTAGATAAATGATTCATGAAATGCTTAAGAGAGAGGAGGAGGCTACTGATCATAATGTTTGGTTTTTAAATGTTTGACTTACAATTGATCAAAATGCAAGAAATGATTTTTCATTTTTTTCCCTTCTTAACAATAAGATTTTTTTAAATTTCATAGCATTGTAAATGGCAATTTGCATGTTAGTTTTAAGGATCTAAACGGAGAGCCCTTTGAAGTTGGTCCATTTTATCTTCTTAAACATACTAGCCTTTTGTGGTACTTGTTTATAGATTTCATCTTGGATGCCTTCAGAGAACAATAAATTTTGTTTAAGTCCTTAAGCTGACTTGACATTGATCTAGACATTACAGAGACAGTTACTTTTAAAATTTTAAAATCAGACTGCAAAGACACGGTACTGAACAAAGAGGGATAGATTTAAATTTAAAGAGGTCTTGACTCCAAAGAAAGTGAATACATCAGCTATCTAGTCACTTTTAATATAATCTTTAATGTGATTGGATGGAATAATAATTAATTATGTGTGTTATTCAATAAGAAAATATCAAAATCTAATCAACCACCTTCATCAATCAAGTAATTTAAGCAGAAGCATTCCAATTTCTAAATAATGATTATACACAGAATATGATAATAATTACTAATTTCTCCTAATTTTTGCAGGATTGTGTTCAACCTACTGCCAAATCTCGTGTCCGAGTTAATTAAATATTTTGCAAGTAAAGTGGCTAAATATATATTGATATATTCTTTATTTTCCAGTCCACATCTAAATTGTTAGTTAGGATTCTAAAGACAATTCTTTAATGAATTTATTCTCTGTTTCTGCTTGCAGTGAAAACAAATGATATGATGATGGTCATATATCTTTCGCCCCCTATTTGAAGTTTGATTGCTCTACATAATTTGATCAACAACAAGGTGAGATATTCTTGAATTGTGCCTCAAAGTTTTGTGTTTTACTATTTGTTATTAATATAACTACTAGATCTATATAAAATTTTGAACCCTGATGTTCATAGTGGATATTCAGTAATCTTTCTTGTGCTGGGCTATATCTAATGATGTCGACAATTAACATATCGATTTAATGGTTATTGTTGGATATATTAATATCTGTTGGAATTAATAATTATGTTTATGAATCAATTGTAATACATCATAATATGCTCCCCAAGACTCTTGAATAATGCAATAAATCTTCAACATTTTTTTCCTTTTTAACATCTACAATTTCTACACCAATAAAAATACAATATTCGTGTAACGCATGTGACAAGGACTAGTTGATATTAATGAATTGAATTTTTTTTCTTCAAGTGTTAAGGCTTCTTCTCTTGTGTTGGACTGTGTACTACTATGATTGATGAATGCTTAAGTCAACATTACTAACATCAATAAGCGGTTGAGGTATAAAATGATAATCCATAGAGTATAACGATGAACTGAAGATTCAAATAACTTGAATTCACCAATCATACACGGGCAATTCGAGCGCTTAGTTAGATAGGAATAAGTTACAACATCTTGTGGATCATAAGCAGGTCGAATCGAAACATACATTTATTCATTGGTAGTATTTTCTTAAGTGCTCAATGTTCCACTGATGAGGTAACACTTTCTCTGCCATATCTTCAATTTCATAAGTCCCAGGTCGGGACTCTTTGACGATACTGTATGGGCCTTCCCAGTTTGGTCCAACCACTTCGGAGCTTGTTGGTTTTGACGATGGGAACACCATTCTGAGTACCAAGTCTCCTAAACGTGGAGTTTGGCTTCTGACCCTTGAGTTGTAATAGCGGGTCATCTTCCTTTGATACGCAGTCAATTTGACTTGGGATGAATATCTTCTTTCTTCCAGGAGATGGAGTTCGCACACTCTCGCTTCATCGTTGTCGATCTCATTGAAGTTTATATGATGATGCGAAGACTCCCACCTCGACTGGACTCATGGCTTCGACTCCATAAGTCAAGGAGAAAGGTGTTTCTCTTGTTGCGGTTCGACTTGTTGTTCGTATGGCCCAGAGGACATGGGGAAGTTTATCGACCTATGCCTCTTTTGATGTGTCAAGCTTTCTTTTCAGGGTGTGCTCGATCGTTTTGTTGATTGCCTCGACTTGCCCATTTGCTTGGGGTGATGAGGTGTTGAGAAGTCCTTCCTTATGCTGAGTTCTTCACACAAATCTCGTATCTTATTGTTATTGAACTACCTTCTATTATCATACACTAAGGAGTGGGGAATGCCGAACCTGCAAATGATGTTCTTCCAAACGAACTTCGTGATGTTCACCTCAGTGATTTTGGCTAGAGGTTTAGCTTCGACCCACTTAGTGAAGTAGTCAATGGCAACAACGACAAATGTTGCACTTCCTTTTCCTTTCAGGAGGGGGCCAATGAAGTCTATACCCTATTTGGCGAAGGGTCATGGGTTGGTAACCACGGAGAGTCCCTGGGAAAGCTGTCTCTAAACATTGGCGAACCGCTGACAATTATCACATCTTTGAACAAATTGACAGGAATCCCTTTTCAGGTTCGGCCAAAAATAGCCTTGTTGAAATACTTTGTGTGCCAGGGCTGTTCTACCGGAGTGGTTACCGCAGACTCCTGCTAAAATGGCTTCATACTCTGTGACATTGTTTAAGAGGCCTTGAAGCGGAACCTAATTGCACAGTTTAGCCTATGACCCTCTGGGCTTTCCAGAACGACTCTGGCTCTGATGCCGATTTCTCCTGACGACTTGATCACAAATAGCTTCCATGTTGGGGGCTCTACTGGATCTATTGTTGTCTCCATTTCTGGGGCTTTGACGAACTCAGCAACAAAATCTGCAAGAGCTTGGCCCTTGATGGCACTTCGGGGTTTAAATAGTAGGTCGAACTTACTGAACTTAATTGCCCATTTTAGCAGTCAAATCGAAGCGTCAATCATTTGTAACACTTGTTTCAGTGGAAAGTTGGTGAGGACTTCAATTGAATGAGCCTGAAAGTATGGCCTTAACTTCCTTGACTCCGTAACAAGGGAGAGCGCAAGCTTTTTCATGTCTGGATAGCGAGTCTCTACTAGTAACAGGGCTTTGCTGATGTAGTATACTGGCCGTTGGCGTGCCTCTTCTTCCCTGGCAAGCACTGCACTGACTGCTTCGTTCGAAACTGTCAAATAAAGCAGGAATGTCTCACGTGGTGTAGGTTTAGACAGTAGGGACGCCTTTCCCAAGTGCTTCTTCAGCGCTTGGAAGGCTGTCTCACATTCTTCGATCCATTGGAACTTTTTCCCCTGCTTCAGAATCTTGAAGAAAGGTAGACTCTTATCAGTGGTTTTGGAGATGAAGCGACTGAGTGCAGCAATTATTCCATTAAGGCTTTGCATCTCTTTTGACTTCTGGGGTGACTTCATCTCTAACAAGGCCTTTATCTTCTTAGGTTTTGCCTCAATCCCTCTTTGATTCACAATGTATCCCAAAAATTGACTCGACGTTACCCCAAAGGTGTACTTCAGTGGGTTCAATTTCATTTTGTATTTCCTCATAATTTGAAAAATGTTGTGGAGATGACTTACATGATCCTTTGAACGGAGGCTTTTGACAAGTATATCATCAACATAGACTTCCATAGTCTTGCCAATGAGGTCGGCGAACATCATGTTGACCAACCTCTGATATGTGGCACCTGCGTTCTTCAGTCCGAAGGGCATTACTTTGTAGCAGTACAATCATTTGTCCGTGATGAATGACGTGGCCTTTTTATCAGGTCGGGACATGAGTATTTGGTTATACCCTGAGTAAGCATCCATGAAGCTCAAGAGTTCATGTCCAACGGTGGAGTCCACAAGTTGGTCTATCCTTGGGAGGGGGAAGCTGTCCTTTGGGCAAGCTTTGTTCAAGTTGGTGAAGTCAATGCATACCCTCCACTTCCTGCTGGATTTCTTTACAAGCACTGGGTTGGATATCCACTTCAGATAAATAGCTTCTTCGATGAAGCCGTTGCGACTTAGCTTGTCGACTTTTTCCTTCAGCGCCTCATATCTTTCTGGATTGAGGGCTCACCTCTTTTGCCGATGCAGGGTGCACGTGGGGTTGATATTCAAGTGGTAGCAGCTGACCCTTGGGTCTATTCCCACCATGTCTTCGTGCTTCCATGCGAAGAAGTCCAAATTCTTTTTTAGGAAGTTCATCGGTTCTTCTTTCATCTCAGAAGGCAAAGCTTTTCTTATTCCCAAGACCTGAGTGGGATCTTGAGAGTTGGTAGGAAAGTTTCGAATTCTTTCATAGGAGTTGCACTCAATTCAGACTCAATGATCCGAGGATCTAATTCATCAAGAGGGTGCCCTTCTTCAGGGGCCTCAATCATGTTGACGTCCTTTCCCTGTTCGGGGGTCTGCCCTTGTTTAGGAGAGTCAAGCATCTCTACATCCGTGTTGACTTCATTTGTTACATCGGTTATTATCACATTCACAATGCGGCTCAGATTTTCGTAGGAAATTGAGGTAACATGATCTCGAGCCCATCTGGTCGCCTCGGACCGTCGCGATCCCATGCTCAGTCAAGAACTTCATACATAAATGGTGAATGGAGGTCATGGCCCAAAGGTCCTTTAGTGCTGGTCGGCTTAGTACCTCGTAGTAAGCTGACCTTTGATCCACCACTAAGAATTCCATGAAGTAATGAGCCACTAAAAGTGTTGATCCCATCTCAACAGGTAAAGTGATTCGTCCTCGTGGGATGATGCTATCACTAGTGAATCTAAATATTGCGTCGGCCATGGAACCAAGCCATGCTCAATCTGCATCTTGTCAAAGGTTGATCCGAACAGTATATTCACCAAGCTTCCATTGTCAACAAGCATGCGCTTGAGTCCATTCCGAGCCACAATGGCTCTTACTACCAACACATCGCAGTGGGGATGATAAACACCTTGGGAATCTTCTTGAGAGAAGGTGATTGGAGCCATTCTGTTAGTTTGGGACTGGTTGACAATGTACGTAATCATTGGTGGGTCTTTCATTTCTCTTGTATAGTTCCTCTGTGTATTTCTGGTATTGCCTCCGATGTGAGGTCCTCTAATGATGGTATCAACTTCTTGGATAGTATCGCCTCCGTTGGCTGGGGCCTGATTCCTTTGCTTAGATTCTCCTCGAGATCTCTCTCTTGTTTCTCGCCTTCGAGGTGATTGATCCCTTTGTCGCCTCGACTCCCTATTGGGAGAAGCGGCCCTGTGGGGGTGTTCATGATAATGAGCCTTTTTGGAAGAGCGTGAGTTGCTTTGATCTGAGGACCGAGGTGCGTCTTTACATTTACTAATATCATGGCCATAGAGTTGGTGAAATGTGCAGAACTTTGCCCCTTCTAGGGGCCTGTTTGTCTGCTTCTTCATCTTACGTCGGTTGTTGTTTGTTCCTCCAGATGGCCCTACTTTGGCAGGGGCATTTTCATATGTCAATACCGGTACTGCATTCAGTGTGGCTGAAGCCAATACCTGTCCGGATGTGGGGCTACTGTGTGACCTGTTTGAGTCTATTATTGCGTGATCAGGTGTGTCGCTAGTCTTTGACTTATCTGCCTTTAAGGGAAAGAAAGTCCCTGAGCTGCACGGTTCTATTGGTCAATCATCTCCTTATTGACGATTTCCACCCTTATCATCTCAACTAGTTCGTCATAAGTGCCAGGATTCTTGCTTTGCGCGCCTCTCCAGAACAAAGTATTCATATTGAGGCCTCCTTTCAAAGCTGAGAGAGCCTCTCTATCCGTGACTTTTTCGCAGTATGTGATTTTATCAGTGAATCTGGTGAGATAGCTTTTCATCGTCTTGTTAGAAGCTTGCCTCATATCTTGTAGGTATTGCACTGGGGCCTCCACTTTCCTACGAGAGTGGTATTGTTTTAGAAATGCCTTCTTCGGGTCTGGCCAGCTTCTGATTCTTAAGGGTGGTAGCCTGTTGTACCATACTTTGACAGCTCCGGTGAGGGTTAGATGGAAGGCCCTACATTTCAGTGCCGACGAGGCTCTTCTAAGGCTCATTTGCGTTATATACTTTGTGAGGTGCTTCTGTGGGTCCCCTTTTCCCTCATACTTAGGGATTTTAAGGGGCATGAAGTTTATTGGTATTGGGAAGCTTCAGATTTCTCTAGAGAAATGGAGGTTGTTATCATCATCATCAATTTCGTAAGAGCAATATGGCCCTTCAGAGCCTTCTCTCTCTGACGCATTCTGGGAAGGTAGAGATGCCCCTCCCCGACTGTCCCAGTACACTAGGTTTCTCATCTCCTACCTATTTCTAGACAGAGGGGGTGCTTCTTGTTCTTCTTCTTGCTCCTGCTCCTGCTTCTGCTTTTACACATGCGGGGCTGACCTCTGTATGGAGCGGGCCTTATTGCTAGGATTTCGCCCTATCCGGTCAAAGGCACTAATTGACCTTTGAGGCTTGTATTCTGGTGAAAAGTTTTCTCCCATCTATGGTTCTGTTACGTAAGTGCCTTAGGAATAGGAAGTGATATCTACTCCCACTTCTCTCTCAATGGGGTATTTTTTGTGGTGACTTGAATGACCCTAGGCATGAGATGATGGGTTTTGTCCTTGAGCTGGGTGCAGCCCTGTTGACCCTGGGCTTGCATAAAGAACTCGCGCATCGCTATATTCTGAGCCACAATGTCCTTCATACCTGCAGCTATCTGAGCCATTCCTTCAGTTAGTGTTACTGTTTTGTCACCTCGACGACGCCAGTGATGGGATATCCGGTGTGTGATGTTTGTTCGGAGCACCTCTTCTTCAGAGGCGTCCCTTAGTTCGTGATTTGCATCCTTATTGCTGTAACTCATTTTCTTATCCTTTTCAAGGTGTTAAGAACTTGGATTGTAAGTTGACTTAATCCTTTTCAAAAACACCCCTTTTCTCAGGGTAAGTCGATGGTTCTCCAAAGGCTTTTTGGGTGCTAAATTGGGAACTCTTGGACAAAATCTTTCCATAGACGGCGCCAATCTGTTGACTTCACAAAATGGACCCTCCACATGGTCAATCAATAGCCACTCCACGTAATCCTCCTTGTGCACAATAACGAATGGTCAGAAGTACACAGTCGAAACCATCGGGGTGGGGGTGGCCGCATACACTTCGACGATCAAGTCAACGATCGGTGACCGGAACAGTGCTCGAATCATGCAAGAGAGTGGGGAGGAAAATAAATATTTCTTGTGTGGAGAGCTAAGTCTAGTATTAATTTCATTACCTTTGTCTCTTACCAAACCTTGGGTATTTATAGATGAGGAGTATCATTGGATGTGTGACACGTGTATGCATCTGACGGTGTGAGACGTCTGCTCGTAGGCGTCAATCACTTGCTTCTAGAGTGGGCAAGTAATTAATTCTCCGGAATTGAGTTGACATAAAGTTGATATGTTACATTAACTAGGCCCATGAAGATGTCACCTCTATAGAGGATCCTGGCACCAATAGACTTCTAAAACCGGTGGCAAAGGCATCTTTTAAGAGAGCACCTTAGAGTGCCCAACGCTTCGGTTCAGGGGAGCGCTTCAGTCACTTCGGTTGCCAAATTTAATTTGTGACATATGTGCCTTGTAGCGCGTCAAGTTAGAGTTCGGCCGAGGTTGACATCGTTTCGAAACCACTTCGTAATGAGATGTGGAGCCTCGCGAAGGAGTGGCTCTATCGTGCCGAAGCGGTTTGGTGAGGGGCGTAACATAAACTATTACCTATAATGTTGATCTAATGGTATGTGACAAGTTCTCTTAGATTTGTGACATTTGGACATTGACCTATTATCTATGATATTGACTCAATGGCCTGTGACCAATTTCTCTTCGATCTGTGACTTGTAGACTTTGAACTGTTACCTATGCAAAATGGCATGTGAATGTTTGGCATTGATATTTGACCTTTGAATGTTGATATGAGACTTGTCAATTGTAACTTGTGACCTATGAACTATAACATGTGACCTGTGGACATAAATCAATGATCCGTGATCAATTCTATTTGATCTATGACATGTTGACATTCTTATACAATATGATCTGTGAACAGCGAAGTGTGACCTATAACCAGTTCTATTTTATTTGTAACATGTTTACATTTATTTGTGGCCTATGTACAATGACCTCTGACCTATTACTACTTGATTGTGACATGTGAACTGCGAACATTATCTGTGGCCAATTGTGTTTGATATGTGACCTATGGATGTTTATCTGTGACCTATACCAATAACATGTTACCCATGATATGTAAACATGATCTGTGACCTATATAATATGAATGTGACTAATGGAATGACTGTTACTTGTGACCAGTTCTATTTGATCTGTGATGTTTATACAATTATTTGTGACCTATGCATAATAACTTGTTACCTACCACCACCACAACTGGCACCACTACTAGATATCAACACAGCATTTGACATATACTCTATAAACATTTGACCACCATCAACATCAGTACAAAATCGTTGCAAAAATACAGCAAAAACACCTTAAAAATCACCACAAAATCGCTGCAAGACCACCACAAGATAAGGCACTGAATTCAATTCAAAAAATCACCTAATATCACAATCAACATGAGGTCATAAGATTACAAATCACCTAAATACCTACATCACAATCAAAATCTAATTTACATAAATAACCCAACATCACAATCAAAATCAAGTCACAAGATCATTGATCACCCGAACACTCAACATCACAAAGCTACAACAAAATCACCACAAAATCTTTGTGTTGACCTTACTATCGTAAGGACCATTTCAATTTTGGAACTTAAAATTGATTCACACGAGATTGTACTCTAACAAGCAATTATCTCCCTCCATAGAGCAGTCCCATTTACATTTAAAGGCAAAATCACACCATCCATGCCCAGATTCCTCTAAACCAAGAACTCATTTCCTCTGTCTTTAGAAGAATTAAATCATTCAAGTTTAAAAATGACCTAACCTCGAATTTATACCCATGAAAATTGGGTTCTCCTCAATCAGATCGTGAGCTTGAGTCATATGAGAAACCAAGCTACTTGTGGTAGAGATATTAACAATGACAATGGAGATGATGCGGATCATTTAAGAGAACAAGCTAATTTTTAGATACTACCGCCAACTAGGACATTGCATAAGGGCCATCGTGAGTCTAGTATCAACGACAGGACTTGCAAATGTGGCGAGGTTGCGACAAGTTACAGTTGTTGTAGTCGCAAAACTTTGACGATGGGCAGCAATTAACGGTGATAAGGTTGAGTCGTAAGGAAGAGTGAGAGATGAAAGAGACAAATTTTAATTTTGATTAAGTACCTTATTGATGCATAAATAAATTTTACATCTTATTTTTGAATTATCATACTTATAAATAGGTTGGTATATAATTTCCACTATTTACTTGGCATTACGTTCGAGAAGCTCAAGGGTTAATTAGGCCCAATACCCTCCGAAACTAACAAATTAGAATAATAACCTTAAAACTAATTAAAATATTAAATCCCGTAATTAATATGCCCACGCACCCATCCAAAACCTTAGGAAGCCCCAAATCATCACCCCAACACCAGTACCAAAATCTTCGACCTCCGCTGCCTCTCCTCCTATCAAGTCATCCAACCCAGCAAAGTCACCTGCCTTAGGATTTTGTTCTCATTTTTCAGTTTAAGTGTGAGAAAATCAATAGATTTAAATTGGAATGATGAAGGAGTAATCACTTTGTTTTGGAAACTCTCGAAGCTTCTTCAACTAGTATAGTTTATTGATTTTTTTATTCATTTGCTTTTCCTGATTATCTCAACTATGCATACGATGGGCAGGGTGGTGTTATCATTTTGGAACCCTTACCATCGAGCTTATATCAGATTAATCGGCTTGTGTTCGAGGTATTACTTTATCGTGTACATATCTTGAATTCGCAAAAATGATCATTTAGAAAGTTTATATGGTGAATGTCTGTACTAATGACAATTTATTAACCAATGTGTTATTTATTGAACTCTTTTAGAAGTAGTTTGACCTAACAATATTTTGTTTGTTAAAGCTTTATTGTTCAAGACGATCTTTTCATATTATGTTGACAGTAACAACTAATTATAAAACTATTATGATACATCCACAAGATTTTCAGAATATACTTCTAAACAAGGTTAATCTGGTTTCAAAGTATATTGAAGCTGGAAGATATGAATCAGCATGAGCATTTTCACAATCAACGGGATGCAGGCTAGGATGGACAGATGACAATGCAGCAACAGAAGAATAATCTGGAAGATGATTAGTTAGATTTTTGGTTGCAAAAGAAACTTGTATTTATTCTATTTTCTGTGTAAATTAGTTGGAAAAAGATTCTTTTATTGATGTATATATATATATGGAGGGTGTTTGGGAGTAATTTTATGTAAAAATGCATTTTGAAATAGTAAATTGATAGAAAATGTGTTGTTGAAAAATAAGGAAAATTTTTTGATTTACGTGTAATATTATTTTAATAAAGAATGTGTGGTTGATAAGAAGAGAGAGAAAAATGCATTTTGAAAAAAATGGGTACCAAACGGCGCTAGGATCTCAATTGTATGCTTAACACATGATTGAATGAATATATTTTCAGCTTTCTCTCAATTCATCAATATCAGAATTTTATCTTTCCAAAATCAACATGGTATCAAAGCTTGCAATGGAGGAATCTAATTCAGGAAATACAAACTCTTCTGCAGTCCCAAACACTAATCCAAATTGTAGCCAAAATCTACAGCAAATTGATGAAATGAATTCAAGTGTTATTTCTAATGATCCAACTCATCCCAACAGTCCTTACTATATCGGCAGCAATGATGGAAGCTCTCTTTTGCTGGTTACTCATGTTTTGGATTCCAATAACTATAACTCCTGGGCTCTTTCAATGAGAAGAGCTTTAAGGATCAAAAGCAAACTGGGTTTCATTGATGGCACTCTTTGTGAGCCAAGGGATCCCAATGATTCATTGATGGAGCATTGTCTGAGGTGCAATGACATTATCATAACATGGATGCAGAATGCTATGGTAATTGACATCAAGAGTAGCACCATTTATGCTGAGACCGCTCATCTCTTTTGGCTCGACCTCGAGCAGCGATTTTCCCAGCAAAATGCTCCATGCATTTTTGAAGTTAAAAAGGATATCACAACCTTGATACAAAACCAAGATTCTATGAGTGTTTACTTCTCCAAACTCAAAATTCTTTTAGATGAACTGCTGAACTATAAGAGCATTCCCAACTGCAGTTGTGACGACTTGAAAACTGTGATTCCAACAAAGAGATTGGGTTATGAAGTTCCTAATGGGGCTAAAAGAGTCCTACAAGGAAATTAAGGCATAGATCCTGCTGATTAAGCCATTTCTTAGCTTGAATGAGGTGTATTATTTAATCTAACAAGAGGAGAAATTGCGAGAAATATCTAATCCAAGTCCAGTTAATTCTGATTCTATGGCATTTCTAAGCAAGAAAAGCTTCAAAGAGGGAGGAAACCAGAGTTTTTCATCATAGAAAAGGGACAAATATTATTGCACTCACTGTAAAATTGCAGGCTACTCCCTTGAGAGATGTTTCAAGGTAAATCCAAACAGGCCACTATGTTTTCATGCCAAATGCCAGGGCATGCAGTAGACAAGTGCTATAATTTTCCTGGTTTTCCACCAGGGCATAAGTTTAATGACAAAGGAAAGTCTGCAGATAACATGGTTTCTACAGAAACAATACCTAATCAGGAACTAGTGAAGGACAAGGGTCAAGTATCCTTAAGTCAAGAGCAATACTCTTAGCTGATGGCACTCATCAAACCAGCAACAAGTTTTCAACAAGTTTCCCCTTCATCAAATAACGTCCAAGCACTTGCTAATCGTTCCCCGTCATTTCATTCATAAACTGTCTGGTATACCATTAAGCTTAATTGCATTTCATCACAAATATGGGAATATTTTTGAAAACCTATAGATTCTTGACACGAGAGCAACATATCACATGATTTATTCTACCTCATTTTTCACGTCTATTCAAGCTCAAGTGTCTTATCATGTGGCTTTACCAGACGGAGAGAATGTTCCAGTCACGCATGTGGGAACTGTCAAAATCTTAGAAGCCATTACTTTACATAATGTCCTTTGCATTCCTAGTTTTACTTTTAATTTGATTTCAACAAAGAAACTTGCTCAATCTCTAAATTGTTGTCTTGTTTTCTTCTCTAACTACTGTTATATTCAGGACCTTTTGACTTGGAGAACGATTGGAATGGGTAAGGTAAAAGATGGATTGTATCATTTGGTGAGAAAGCAAGTATCCCCTTCAGCTTTGATAGAAGTCCCTAATAAACTGAAGTGTCTGTTTTCCTCTTCTGCATCCACTACCAAAAATCATAAGGAGTATGATTTATGGCATTATAGATTGGGTCATTCTTCATATTTTGATTTCAGCCTTGATGGAAGCATCCATATCCCTACATTCCCTAATCATTGTTTTATACAAATTACCATTTAATGTAAGCCACCACAAGACTGAAAAACCTTTTGAATTAATCCACTGCGACATTTGAGGACCCTGTAATGAATTCAGCAGAGATGGTTCTATGTATTTTTTATTTATTGTTGATGATTTTAGTAGAAACATGTGGATTATATGCTAAGAATTAAAACTGATGCCACCACTGCTTTACAAAACTTTTATACCATGATCCAAACTCAATTTGAGGCCAGAATTAAAACCATCAGAACGCACAACGGAGGTGAATTCAATATGACAAAATTTTACCTAAAAAGAAGCATAAAACACCAAGGAACCTATGTTGAAACACCAAAAAAAATGCAGTGGTGGAAAGAAAACATCAACATATTTTGAATGTGGCAAGAGCTTTGAAGTTCCAAAGTGGACTTCCTTTAAAATACTGGAATGACTTCGTTTTGACAGCCGTGTACCTTATAAATAGAACACCAACCCCTATTTTAGACCACAAAAGCCCTTTTGAAGTATTGTTTCAAGTCAAACCAAACTATAGTCATCTAAAGGTTTTTGGGTGCCTAGCTTTTGCCACCACCCTTATCAATGGTCGACACAAGTTTGATCCTAGGTTCAGGAAATGTGTTTTTATTGGCTATCCTTTTGGGATCAAAGGGTATAGATTACTGGATTTAAAGACAAAGAAAATATTTATTTTAAGAAATGTCATTTTTTGTGAGAACATCTTTCCTTTCAAAGGCCTCAATCCCAACAGCAATACTCCTTTAACTGATTTTGATAATCTAGTTTTCACACAAAATCCTAATATTTCTAATGATCCTATCATTCCCTTATTTGACAATGCTAATGATAAGGATGATGGAAATGACCCTTCAAATGATTTAGCCTACATAGAATCATCTAATTTCCATATGGATACCAATCATGACACAACACAACCTCTCACTGATATTTTGGAATCAAATCGACCTATTTTTATTCATTTACCCCGTAGGTCCAACAGAACTCAAAGGAATCCTATTCACTTGCAAGACTTCATATGCCAACATGCCTATTCACCTTTCCCATTTTAGAAGCTCAACAACAGAAAGGAAGTGAGTATTATAGGTAATATCTTCCCTCTTAATGATAGTGTTTCCTATGACAAGTTATCCATACCTCACCATACTTTTACAACTTCAGTAACAAATACTTTGAGCCCAAAAGTTATCAAGAAGCCATAACTTCTCCCGAATGGTGCACTGCCATGAAAGCTGAGATTGAGGTTCTAGAACTTAATAATACTTGGATTTTGACCGATCTACCACTTGATAAAGAAGCCATAGGATGTAAGAAGGTATACAAGGTTAAATTCAATGCTAATGACAATGTTGAAAGATTCAAGGAAGGTCTAGTAGCAAAGGGGTACACTCAACTAGAGAGACTTGACTATAACGGAACTTTCTCCCCTATGGCTACGCTAACCACCATTAGAACCTTACTGGCAGTGGTAGCAATCAAAGGACGGAATTTGTGTCAATTTGATGTGAATAATGCCTTTTTACATGATGACTTAGATGAAGATGTTTATATAAAACTGCTTCCTATTTATTCCAATATAAGTGGCAATAAAGTTTGCGAACTACGAAAGCTTGTATGGATTGAAGCAACCTTTGCGTCAATGGCACTCAAAACTTTCTAGCTTCATTATTAAGTAGGGATACACTCAATCAAAGGCAGATTGTAGTCTGTTTACTAAGTTAACTGGTGGTTCTTTCACTGCTATTCTAGTGTATATGGATGATATAATAATGGCTGGAAATTGCGTTGACGCCATTAATAAGCTCAAAGTCTTTCTCCATGACAGGTTCAAAATCAAAGACCTAGGAAAGTTGAAATACTTTCTAGGCATTGAAGTAGCAAAGTCTAAGCTTGGGATTTATATATGCTAAAGGAAGTATGCTCTAGATATCCTAGTAGATTCAGGCACTATCGGTTCAGCCCCTCCTAGGATTCCTGTTGATCAGAATATAAAACTGAGTAAAGATGAAGGAGAGTTATTACCTGATCCATCACTTTACAGAAGATTGGTAGGAAGACTACTATATTTGACAATCATTCGACCTCATCTTGCATATTCAGTTCAATTGTTAAGTCAGTTTATGGGAAGTCCTAGGATCCCACACTTACATGTTGCTCATAAAGTGCTAAGGTACATCAAAAGAGCACCTGGACAAGGACTATTTTATCCTACAGAGTCAAGGCTACAACTAGAAGGTTACTGTGATTTAGATTGGGGGCATGCCTAGACACCGAGAGATCAGTTGCAAGTTACTGTGTATTCATTGGGAAAGCCTTGATAGCTTGGAAATCAAAGAAACAACATGTGGTATCACGATCCTTTGTCAAAGCGGAGTACAGAGCAATGGAAAATCTCTGTTGCAAACTAACTTGGCTCAAGTATTTGCTTAAGGATTTAAAGATTGAACACCCTCAAGAAACAGTCCTAAACTGTGATAATAAACGTGCAGTTCACATAGCTACAAATCCGGTTTTTTATGAAAGAACCAAACACATTGAACTTGATTACCATTTGGTTCGATACAAGATATAAGAAGGCAGCATCATCACTCAACATGTTTCCAGTGCATCACAAATTGCAGATATTTTAACTAAGGCTCTAAATTCCTAAAGTTTTTACTCTTGCTTATTTAAGATGGAAGTGATGAACATCTACTCTCCATCTTACGAGAGGCTATTGAAGTTGGAAGATATGAATCAGGGAGAGCATTTGCACAATTAGCTAGATGAGGCCATGATGGATAGATGACAATTAGCAACAAAAGAATAATCTAGAAGGTCATTAGTTAGATTTTTGGTATTTTTCAACTCGTATTTATTCTGTGTTTGTGTAAATTAGTTGGAAAAAGATTCCTTTATATATATATAGGATCTCAATTGTATACTTAACACACGATTGAATGAATATATTTTTAGCTTTCTCTCAATTCATCAATATCATAATTTTATCTTTCCAAAATCAACAAAGTACTTGTAATGTAATGTGTTACAACTCTTTGAAGTTCAAAATCAGGTAATGGGGCCTTGAAAAATCTCACAAGTGCTATCTTCTCTATAAAACTGTTGATGTTTCCTCTATAATGTCATTGCAGATTGGATTTCATAAGGTAGAGAACTTTAACTTCCAGATTATCTAGTAGCAAATTTGATTACAACAGACCAATATTGGATTTTCTAGAAATGAATAGTTTCATTGCCGATGGAGAAGACGTGTAGATATGCTAGTGGAATAGGGTCCCTCTCTTACTGTAAGTTATCAAATTTTGAGTTTCGTAGGATAAGTATCTTGAGGTAAACATTTTTTAAATACCCATTAATAGAATTGAACAGAAAGAAATGTGCTATAAAAGTGTACTCTTTCTTATAAGCTCTCTCTCATATGGTTCACTTGCTGCTGATGAATTTACAGGACAGATTGTAGTGGTAACATTCATTTTGCTGATTCTTGCAAAATTCCAGCTTCAGTGACCTGTTGTTGTACAGCTACACCTTGAAATCTGAAATTCGTGAAATATATTATGCTAGAATATCTTTTATGTACTCTAAAACTTGTCAGTAGAGAACCTCAACAATTTGGCTAATTTGTTAGTGTTTACCTATAACTACATGAGTATAGAACCCATCAAGAAATCAACTCCAGACTAAATTGTTTTGTGTTAACAACTCTGTATGAATTAAGCTTCTGATTAATTTATGTATGAATTGAGTAGATAGACGATCATGTGATTATTTACATTTAGGAGATTGATCATTATTATATTGAATACATGAATGCTATCGACGCGTAAAATTGAATAATTTTATTGCCATCGCATCTTCGACTAAACAAATAGGCTGAAAACTGTTGCTATTTCTAAATTTCTACTTAACAAAATAGAATAGATACTATTTACTCAAAGAGAAAGTCACCATCATAATATTTTTGTCACTTTTTTTTTTTTTTTTTTAAATTGTCACTTTTTTGAATTTCGTTACTTTTTGAGAGATTGTCACTTTTTTTTAAAAAAAAAAAAAATTCCCATTATTTTTTTTAATTTTCTTTTGAAATTTTGTTATTTTTGGAGTGTTTGTCACTTTTTTATTTCCTGTCATTTTTTTTTTGAATACGAGTAACTTTTTTATTTGTTTCACATTTGTTAATACGTCACCATTTTTTAATTTTTATCACTTTTTTTAGTATTTGTCACTTTTTTGAAGTCACCTTGAAATTTATATCACTTTTTTTAGTGACAATCATCATTTTTTTAATAAAAGTGACATTGTCTATCGCTTTTTTATAAAAAAAAAAAATAAGTGATATTGTTTATGCCGTATTTTTTACTTTCAAGAATTTATTCATATGATTTTTCAAAAGATCCCTAATTTTGCCCATAATAGAATGAATTTTGACCTTAGACCCATTGATAATTGATATTGCTAATCATTAAGTTTTTGTGTTGACAGATTTTGAATTGAGAATATTTAGAAAAAACTTCTGAAAGTGGCATGGAAGTTTATTAGATATTTTTCATCATTTTGCATGTACTTTTTTTTTTGCTTTGCAAATGATTTGCCGTCCCGACTAATATTTGCCGCTGCGCAACGGGGATCGACCTATTCGTGGGGGCTCGGGGGCAACACCCCCGAAAGAAAATTTTATTTTCAAAGTCTTTGAATAGGTGCATCTGTTCGTTTTGACAGTTACTTCCAACATATGTGTTCTTCATTTCAAGAGACACACCTATTCAAACGGTTGCCTCAATTTCTGTAAATTCTGGGCGAAGCAAAAAAAATTAAAAAATATTTTTCTCTCTTTCTATTGGCATCATAAGTTCTTTTTCGAGTGTCTTTTTGTTTCATCAAATAGTCACAATTTGAATCAAACGCCTCCATTATATCCTGAGAGAGATTTTCTATCATACCCCAGTCGTGACTTCGTTGGATAGGGGAGAAATATCTCTTAAAAGATAACGTTTTTCGTGCCTTGGAGTTCATTAAGTTTTCAGATTTTCCTACATTTTTCTCAACAAAGTTTTCTAAGAAGTAGTCAATAATTGATTACCAAAAGAGACTAAGCAAAATATTTTTTTCGTGAGGATAAAAATTTCCTGAGCGAAATTCAGTAAAAAATTTACAGATATTAGTAATCGTTGCTAATCCATTGTAATGTTGAGGTAGGAGTACATGGCTCATGAGTTATGTTTTCCATTCCAGTTTTAGAAAAAGATTTAAATTACACCAACGTTGCTCAATTGTCGATGTTCTTCAATGGTCGCTATGTTTCTTCCTCTCTCTATCTAATATCTAAGCCGAAGACGATTAATCATCCCTGAACAGTGATCAATTCATAGCTAAAGAAGATGCTCAATCCATTAGCAACCTATGTAGATTTTATAGATTTCGATGACTGTGAGAGTTTATATTGGCGGGTAAGTGTCGACGCCAAGTGGATGTAGACGAATGGACAGATGCTATGATTGTAGTTGGACTATATATATATATATATATATATATATATTGAATTGGCTCTTAGTTAATACTTGAGTGGTGAATTTTTCCCTAAAATGAATCTTGACCTTAGACCCATTGATAATTGATATTGCTAGTCATCAAGTTTTTTTGTTGACAGATTTTGAATTGAGAATATTTAGAAAAAACTTCTGAAAGTGGCATGGAATTTTTCTAAGCAGCAGTCAATATTTGATTAACAAAAGAGACTCTAATTTTTTTATTTTTTATTTTTTATTTTTTTAATTATTATTATTTTTTGTATGGATAAAAATTTCCTGAGCCAAATTCGGTAAATTTTTGTACAGATACTAGAAATCGTTGCTTATCCATTGTAGTGTTAAGTTCGGAGTCCATAGCTTATGAGTTATGGGTGATCAAATTCCTTCCCGCAAAACATGAGACAAGCTAGAAACCTGCAAGAAAAATGATAAACTACAAATTAGCAGACCAAAAAATATTGAATTTTTTCCCCAATTTGCACAAATCTCAATTGTTAGCTTACTTTCTACACAGTTTTTAAGTGCATTACAAATAATGTGATTAGGCTTTTCAAATTATTTTTAAATAATAAAACTTGATTTAAAAGAATGAAGTGAAATAGCTTTAAGCACAAGCTTAAAAGAGCAATAATTGTCAAATTCGTTCCTTGTAAACTCTCTGTTCTTTTTTGACATGAAGTCCGGATGATAGCTATCGTTCTAGTGGAATATTAAAAATTATTGTAGGAATTATTTCTAATAAAAAGAACAGAATTATTGAATAATCCTAGCGCCTATTTGGTCTAGATAACAATTAATAAAATATGTGATTAAAAAATTACAAATTCGCTCTATGCAACCAACGGCTGAGGAGTTCAAGAATGAAACAGGAAAATAGAATAATTATCTCATTGGCAGAGCAGCAGTGACTGGACCCAATTTCCTAATAATTATTTAGTTTGGGTCACTTGTCACAATTTAATAGCATACTTACAACCTGACACAAAAATCATAAGGGAATCTATTTCTGGAGTTTGGATTTTTTAAAGGGGAGAGAGGCGGGGGTGTGGGGACAAAGAGAGAAAAATCAATTGCCAACAAAAACGTGGCACTCCGTTGTTCACGATTACTCGAAAAATTGTGAAACCGGTAAAATATAACAGTGAAATTAATTATTAATTTTGATTTAAATTGAAATTTAGATTTTTTACCCACCACCAAATAGGATATTAATTTTTACCAAACAAGGTTTATATTTTTCAGAGAGCAAAGTCGAAGAGATGTAGCAGAGGTAAAAGGAGCATCACCTTCCCTTGAGATGTTTTGTCGACGGGAAAAGATCAGCACTAATGGGGTTTTTTACAACAATTATGCTGCATGATATAATAGTCAATATAATCCTTAACATAATATCACATGATTATCATTGAACAGTTTAAAACACAGTCAACTTTTTCATTCATCCATCTACTGTCACGTACACATCTATCAACTTATTTGTTATTCTTCTTATGTCAACATAGATTAATCATTTTGACATCAAGTACACTTTGGTGTATATTATCCATCAATGCATAGATTTTCCCCGCATATGGGGAATGTCATGCAAAGAGTACATTTTGCCTTGTTCATAATGATTTTTTGTATGAATTATGCTCCTTGTACATTATTTGTGTACAACTTGAATGATTGAGTATGTGACAAAATCAAGGTCATCGATTATTTTAAGTGTTGGAGAAATTAATGATAAAATTATGTGTCATATAGTATAACATAAAATAAAATGTCAACTAGAATATATGTGTAAGAAGATTGAGTCTTTATACTTGAAACTCAAACGACCACTTGAATTATCTTAAGTCTTTTTTTTAGAAAAAAAATGGTTATAATAAAAATTCTTACATCATGTCTCTTCAGTAATAGAAATAGAAGTTTTGCATCATTTGGCCTATATTTGCGTAGAAGTCAAGTACAACTCGTCTACTTGGATTCTTTGTACGATCTGGGTTTCATCAGGTTCCTTGAAATTCTGCAAGTTCTTCAACTGTTTGTGGTAAGCCTCTGACACATGATTTACTTTGCTTCTTTTACCCCTTTTTTCCTTTTCTGCTCTGGATTTTTTGTTGTCGACAAGTTATTTGTCAAAAACTGAATGAGCCTATCAGACTTGATGAATCAATCTATTCTTCTTGATGATCAGGTGGGATTTTATTTATTATTATTATTTTTTTTTTTTCCCAGATTGGTCAACGGTTGGATTTTTTAATATGTAGGAGGTTGAGATTTCATGTCTTGAGTTGAAAATTCTGAGAATCAATGATCGGAAATAGTTCCACAGATAATTAGTTTATTTGTCTCAATTTCTGTGTCATATCTGCTTGTTTTCATTTCATATCCATTTCTTTGGACTCCTGGATTAGATGTTCAATTCAAAATCTGAAGAATTTTTCCCATCCGGTTAGCTGAAGTTCGTTGAAGTGATGATCTTCCTGGCATAATATTGCATGAATTCGAGATAGTGATTGAATTATGTCCATTTATTTTCCCCTTTTAGAGAGCAAAAAAAAAGCTTAAGATTGCTTTTGGGATTCCATTTTCTAATGGTAGTTCTTATTCGAATGAGCACACTCAGTCTGCAGGATATAGTCGCTGACCCACAAGAGGATAACAATTTACATTATGGATTGGCTAATGAAGATTCTCAAAGGTTCCAGTCACAAAATGTCGGAAGGACAATATCATGGGAAATACGAAGATAATACGATTTGGGAAGAACCTCCTGCTTTCGCGGTAAGCCTTGATGTCGTTAGCTATTGATCTTCACTGTTTATGTTTCTTTTGCATATGCATACCTATTTTCAACATCGATGTGGTGAAAACGGTCCGAGGTTGTGGGACAAACAAGCTTTATCTCTGTTATTATTTTGCTAACTTCGTAGTTTTGGGCCGGAATTGTAGGATGAATGGTCAGATTTTGACAGAGAAGAAATTGATCTCGCAATTGCATGGTCTCTGGTTGAAGAAGACACCTCTCTTGCTGAAAATGATAATAAAGGTAAGAAAGAGGAAGATGAGAAAGGAAAGAAAGAAGAAGATGAGAAAGGAAAGAAAGTGATTGGTAAGTCCAGCAGGACGAGTAACTTACCTTAATACCCTAATGTGTAAAGTTCTTTGTCATTTCTTGTCGAGTTCTGTGAAGTATATGTAAGACTTACACAGCCTGATTTGTGAGATGGCTTATTTTTCTTCCAAGGAACAGAAACTTATTATATAACAAAAATTTTATCACTCTCAAATAGGCTCTAAAACCAATATATGGAACTATTTTGACAATTTATTTGGCCTCCCATATGGAAATCTGTAGGGATATAAATAGGGCTTGTAAAGAATTAGCGAGAGGTACAATATCAATATGCCTCTATCTTATTTATTATCGCATAACTTGTGTGTACTGTTACTTTGCTTAAATTTTGGTTGTTTTGGGATAAAGAAGTTCAAATTCTATTTGAACTTTTATCAGGCGCACATTGATGATTGCTTGCATAAACATGTTGCTTGTCAGATACTGAATCTCTGTCTCACTTAGAAGAAGACGAACTGCTTGCAAAGGCTATTCAGGAAAGTCTGAACACGGAGTCTCCACCTCGCCCTTATCCGAACTACCCCAATTCAGGGTACAGGTAATTAGTCTCTTTTCCATTTTATTATTTATCTTCAAATGTCAATTCACCAGTCAATGGTTAGTCAATGTATAACAAATTGGTGATAAAATATTCCTCAAGCTTTGACATGACGTTGATGGAAATAGATATATTGTCTTAGTCTTTACAGTTCAGTTATGTATAAAACTGCACGTATAGGAAATCTTTAACAGATTTCCAACAGGGGGGCCATACGTCTCCCTTTGATTGGCAGGACATATGTATAAAGATTTCTGTACCCGTATCACTCTTCTTCAGTTATAAATACAATTTTTCCCTGCAAAATTTTTATTAGACAGTGTATAAAATGCGGAAATCAGGCCAACTTCTTTAGTGTCCTTTACTCATCTCTCACAAATCTAGTTGTCTATTATGTAGGTTTCTAACTTTGCCTTTCTTTTATATACAGCTCACATAGCTTCAATGGTACTATTGACATTCTACAAGTAGGCATTCCACATAAAAGAGGGTCACACTGGCAAGCGAATGTATTTATTAATGATTCACTTAATTGCTGCAATCAATAGATGAAGATTTGAAACTTTCAGATCGACTCGTGTTAATTGTATTGCATTTTCATTTGGCTCCAAGTACCTTGATATTTGCATAGTGTGTCTTTGTTTCAAAGGGAAGACATGTAAAGCACTAGATTTAAGGAAAAATCTGACCGTCCAGAATCAATGGATTAAACTGTCAATGCATATCTGCATTCCAAACAAATTTTCAATCTATTTTTTTCTTTCATCATTTGGACCTAATGTGGTTCTTGCAGGATTTGTGCTGGTTGCAAAGGCGATATCGGTCATGGCAGATATTTGAGTTGCATGGAGGCTGATTGGCACCCAGAGTGTTTTCGTTGCCATGCTTGCAATCAGCCAATTTCCGATTACGAGGTCTAGAATTATCTTAAGTACTTGAAACCTATCTGATTTTGTTCTAAATAATGTTATTGGTTTTAGTTGCTTGAAATTTCTTATTTTTGTTCGTAATCATTAACAGATAGGTTTAAGATCTCTTTTCTTTTATGTTCAATCCAGTTTTCGTTGTCTGACCATCGCCCTTACCACAAATCCTGTTATAAGGAGCAGCATCATCCCAAATGCGATGTCTGCAAGAACTTTGTGAGTATCAGAGTATCTATTCTCTGTGAAGCTATAATGTTTAGTATAAGATTATATTTCTCAGAATTGCTCATCCACTTTTCTAAATTAATAGCTCTTTCCACTTAAGAGTGATATTTGTAAAGAAATAAATGAGAAATTACGCCAATATTCCCCAACTGCTTTGCCCTTTTCCTTTTAGACTTTTAGAAGGGATCTGGACTACCAATGGAACTACCATTATTAAACTCCCATGAAACATTAATTAAAGGGTGTATGGACAAGGGAGTGATGACAACCATGTTTAAACCTGCATGAAAAGTCTTTGAGTAGCCACATTAGTAGTCATTGAGCCATTGAAGTTCTCGAAATTTACACTTGTAACTCTGAAATCAAATTATTTCCTGTCAGGATATATTGAGCAAGAAAGATCTCCCATCTTTAATCCTAAGATACATATGCCAGTGCCGAATTAGGTTGATAGATTTCCTTGAGTTGAACCCTATTAAACAACGAAAATAAAAAACATTTTGGCAAAAGAAAGAGAGAGTAACGAATGAATTATTGGCCAGATTGGTATAAGGCAGAAAGATTTTTAAATGAACAATGTATTCCAGTAACAGCATGATTTACTCTGGTTTCTTGCTCATTGAAGTATATGATTACCAAAAGTGATTAGTACCGAGACGGGTATAGGGGGGACTGGGCTGGGCTGTAGTCCCCCCCAAGGCCCAAGAAATTTATTTTTTTTAATGCTTTTTTCTTTTTTTTCTTTTTTTTTGAAAAAAACTTTTTTTTGTGTGTACATTTCTTTTTTTTT